CCACCATTACCACCTTAGTCTCTTTACCTCCCTATATCTCTATATCTCCCTTCTCCTTTTATATATTATTTATTTCTTACTCCTCTTATTTTCTTCCCCCCCCTTTCTTTCCTTTACTTTTCATTTTCTTTGACAAAAAACGGGAATTCATTTATTTTAACAAATTTATTTGCATTGACAAATCCAAGGAAATTTTTTTTTCCCTAATATCTGTATGTCGTAATTTGTTTTGGTTTAATTTGTGTGTGTGTGTATATAATATATATATATATATATATATATATATATATATATGTATGTGTGTGTGTGTGTATATACATGTGTGTGTGTGTGTGTATATACATGTGTGTGTGTGTGTGTGTATATATGTGTGTGTGTATATATATGTGTGTGTGTGTATATATATATATATATATATATATATTGTGCATTTAGGTAGCAATCCTTCATTTATACATGTTTCATTAAAGACAACAGAAAAGGTACCACAAGTAAGCTTTTATTTAATTTTTCTTGTGTTCAAACAAGTGTTTTCTTTTCTGGAGCAACATTGTGTAGAAATTGTCCAAATGTTCTGTAATGCCAAGTGCTTTCAGCTATACATTTAGTCATTATCAAGGATGATTTTATTTTTACTGGATGTATGGGTTGTGTGTATGTTTCTATGGTTATTGGAAGTTTTTATTTTCCAAACACATTTAGCACACTATGGCTTTTTTCTTTTCTATTATTAAGGCTTCCACTATTTTTAATCTTTTTTTTACATGCAGATAAGTTTATTATGTTTGTATTTTCTACTAGTATGTTTGGATGAAGTATGGTAAGTTTGTGTGTTTAAATGGGTTCTAATGGAGTTGTCGGATAGGTGCAACATGATGTTTGTATAGGTATAGAGTAGTGTGACCAATGTAATTATTTATGAATTTGGTTTGTTCAGGAATACAATTCCTTAAGGAGCATTTGAACTCATAAATAATGTTCATTTGTTGTAATTTTGAATTTGCTGGTCTGTTGTTATTTTTAAGGTTAGCTGTTTTAAATTTTTTGTAGTAGATAATAAATTTGATTTTTTTTTTTTGTTCAGGTCAATTGGGGTAGTGTTATTCCTTTATGATATTTCTAAGTGAAGATTTATCTTGTTTGTAATTGACATGCATTTTGCTTTTGTAAAAAATATTGATTTTTTTTTTTACTGTGTGTTTCACTATCTTTGTTATTTATTTTAGGAAGAAATAGTCTAATTTGGTGATCTATAAGGTGGTTAGGGAAGTCATTGTTAACTAGTGTATGTTTTGCATTGTTAAATTCTTTAATGAAGGATAGGCAAGAGGATAAATTCTGGTCTGCTCTTTTTTAGGAAGATTTTTTTTATCATTGCTATTTTGTATCTGAGTGGGCATTCTCTCTTAATGTTAAGGTGGCAAATGTGTCTGCTAGTGGGTTTTTTATACAATGAGAGGGTAAAAGTGTTGTTACTATATTCTACAAGAACATCTAAGAATGGGAATTTATTTTTTTGATTAAGTTCATAGGTAAAGTTAAGAACAGTTTTGTTCAAATGTGGTCTTGGGAGTATCTATTTCCTTTGTGTTATTCACAAAAATAAAAATATCATCTACGTAGTGGACGTACATTTTAGGTTTACAGACCTGTTTAAATATCATGTTTTCTACATGGTACATGTAATAATTGGAGAAGCATGGGCCAATCAGATTTCTCATATTAACACTATTAGTTTAGGTGTAAATGTTGTCATTATCATCATAGAATGGGACTTTGGTTGTGCATGCACATAGTAATTTTTTAAGGATAAATGGTTTGATGGATGGCAGTGGGATAGAATTATTAGTGTGCACAGAATTGAGAATAATGTCAATGGTTTAATGACAGGGAAGTTTGTGAATAAATTTTCGACATCAAGTGACACTATTATACCTTGAATTGGTTTTGTACTTTTTAAAATTTTGAGGAATTCATGGGTGGATGTGATACTGTAATTGGTAGGTAGGTACAGGAAAATCATGTCATTGAGAAATTTTGATAACTCATATTAGGTAGGAGTTGGGATCTGGGAAATGATTGGTTGTAACGGGTATCTGGGTTTATGTATTTTTATATTTCCATATATATCCAGGTTGGTAGTCTCCAATGATTTTTTTGGATTTTCAGGGAACCATCTTCAGTGTTATTTGATGTTATGAGTTTGTTGACGGACCCTTTTTAGGGTTGAGTTTGGGTTTCTGTCGAGTTTGGTGAATTTAGTTCAGTCATCAATGATGTTTTGTAATTTTTTTATGGTAATCAGCTTTATCCAAAATTATATATGTATTAACTTTGTCAGCTCATTTGATGACAATATTAGGATTGTTTTTTTAGTTCTTTTGCGGTGATTTTTAGTTTAGTTAAGATATTATTGTAGTTGTTGTGAGTGGAGCAGTTTTTCAAACCTTTAGCCTTGAGGAGGTCTCTCCAGTCTGCATGAACTGCTATGTCTCCATGCACCTCGAGTTGGGATAGTGATTGGTGTAGAATTTCAATTTCAGTCTTTGTAAAAAAAAAAAAAAAAAAAAAAGTCAAATTTAGGTTGGCGATGGCAATTTGGCTCTAGATTTAGGAATTCTTTTCAGTCATCTGTTAATTTGTGACTAGATAGGTTTATATATTTGTTGTCACTGTTGGGTAGTAGAATGTTTCCTTGGTATAATTTACATAGCTTTTTTGTGATTATTTGTCTATGTGTAAGTTGGTGTTGTTAAGGTTGATGTGTTGCAGGGCTTCCTTATATTTGGGTTCAGTCAAGGTGTTTTTTAATGCCTTGTTATGTTTGAGGATTTTACTATTCAAATGTTGGATGTCATTTTTTTTTTTTTTTTTTCGTCATAAAACAAGGTTTTTTTTTTCTGAATGTTGTGTTACTTTGCTTGTTGGCTTCTGGGTTGTGTAATTTGATAATTGTGTATTTAGAAAACAATTCTTCATTTATACATGTTTCATTAAAGATGACAGACAAGGTAGTGTGATTAAGCTTTTTATTTAATTCTTCTTGTGTTCTTTTTCATGTTTAAACACATGAAAAATTAAATAAAAAGCTCAATCGCACTAACCCAGTCATCTGTCGTCTTTAATGAAACGTGTGTGTGTGTGTGTGCTCCGTAAATTCTTGAATTTTAGATGCATTTATTAGTATTTTTTTCATGTGTTTTCTGATATTGTAATATCTGAACCCATGTCTAGCTGTTTTATATTTTCCTTCTTTACATCAATGAATGTTCAGTTCACAAATAAATTCTCTTAAGTTGCTAATTTCATTTTTACCACTCTCTTTTTTTATTTTCATTTTTTTTTTCCTTAACTTCATCAATATCCTGTTTTGCCACAATTAAAACCTTTTCAATCCTTAAAAGAGCAATATTTTTTATAATGTAAATCACTATATACTTAAGAAGGATTAGGCATTGTGTTATTTTCATTATTTTTTTTTCTCTTTCTCTTCTCTTGTAAGATTTGTTTTTATGTACATCTTGTATATTTATGTACATCTTGTATATTTATGTACATCTTGTATATTTATGTACATCTTGTATATTTATGTACATCTTGTATATTTATGTACATCTTGTATATTTATGTACATCTTGTATATTTATGTACATCTTGTATATTTATGTACATCTTGTATATTTATGTACATCTTGTATATTTATGTACATCTTGTATATTTATGTACATCTTGTATATTTATGTACATCTTGTATATTTATGTACATCTTGTATATTTATGTACATCTTGTATATTTATGTACATCTTGTATATTTATGTACATCTTGTATATTTATGTATATTTATGTACATCTTGTATATTTATGTACATCTTGTATATTTATGTACATCTTGTATATTTATGTACATCTTGTATATTTATGTACATCTTGTATATTTATGTACATCTTGTATATTTATGTACATCTTGTATATTTATGTACATCTTGTATATTTATGTACATCTTGTATATTTATGTACATCTTGTATATTTATGTACATCTTGTATATTTATGTACATCTTGTATATTTATGTACATCTTGTATATTTATGTACATCTTGTATATTTATGTACATCTTGTATATTTATGTACATCTTGTATATTTATGTACATCTTGTATATTTAATGATGCTTTAAATTTGATAATCTGACATTCTTCTGCAATTCAGGATAAGTTTATGGCTTGGTTCTGTTCAATATTTGATAAAAATTCTCCATATTTGTGTGTGTCTAGGTGATCATCTACAAAGATAAGATACTTAGATTAGTCCTCTGTTAACACACTCAACTTTAGCCTTTCACATTCTTGTTTTTGGTGCCTGTGGTAATTACAAAATCATCATTTACAATTTTTAGTTATTTTTCAAATACTTCCACGTTATATGTAAGAGGTTTTTTCTCCAAAAACTTTTGTAAGAATAGATATAGTTCTTTCCATTTTAAACTTTCAGGTTTAATTATGCTTCAAATATTATTCCTGCATCAGGGTCATAGTTGATTTCTGCAATAGAATTTGCCACACTGTTTTGGATAAGAGAAATTGTAGTTTAGTTCAGCCATTTTATCCAATTTTTACTCTACTATTGTTTGCTGTTAAATCACTATTTAAACTTACTCCATTTCTAAGAAAATTGCTCATTGCCACTTATATAATTTTGTATTTCGCAATAGAATTATTTAAAACTGATATGTTTTAGAAGCCTTTGTTTACATATTTCCACTTCACAAAGCAAGTCAGATTAACAAACTAAACCCATGATCACTGCAATTTATTGATCATTGCCTATAGACAAATCCCTTTCATTATGCAACAATATTATGGCAATAAAATAAACCAATAATTTTGAACCACTATAAAAAGGGTTGTATTCAGGCTTAAAACTTTTTGAATAGCCCTAATCTAACTTCAACTATGATATATGTATGTAATTATTATTTTTATTTTATTTTATATAGAATTCAAGGTATTTCTGTTATGCCGAGAAATACTGAACTAAGAGATATTTCACAATTGCCTGCAGACATTTCACCAAGTAACTCACCAAGCAAACCTGCCACGCAACATCCACAGCAATCAGCTGAACCCACTTCAAAAGTGTCTGCTAATGTTTCTGAAGATTTAGGTAAGTTTTTTTTCTCACATATACAATGAATATCAAGATGTAATTCCCTGTTCTTCATAACTAATAACTAATACAAAAGGTTTCATTATTTTATTAAATAAAAATAAAACGGTTCTTCCCACTTCAACATTAACCTTTTTAATATATTTACTATTTTGTTTTGCTGTCTTATGACAAGTAATGTCAGATAATTTTATAATTCCTTCCTCTCAGAAATTTTAACTTTTGGCAATGCCTTTTGCTTTTGCTTTGCTGTCTTCGAAAAAAACTGGAATTTCTTTCAGTAAGAAAATAGAATAAATTCATAATTTGATGATACAATATATGATGAATATGGTAAATGAGTCATAACTTCCAGACAAACTAACAATTGTTGCCTGGGCACCAAAAGAATATATAGTCCAGTCTTTGAATATTACACATTTTATCTTAACAAATTTAGTCTTATGCTGTTTTGCTAATTGCTTCTTTCAACAAATGTAATTATGAGTGGTATTGGAATCATTGCTTTTCTTCTCTGGAAGGAGAGCTCATAATTAAGGACTCACTTTTAATGGCTCATTATACACAGCATCATCATGTTGAGATTTTGCTATGGTTAGCTGCTGGTTGAGTTCACTTGCTTGCTCCATAATTTATTTTGTTCTGTATTATTGCAAAGGATCTACTTTTCATGACCCATCATATGTTTTCCAGAATTAAACTTTTTCATTACATAGGTTTTTTTTTTTTTGTTTCATTGAACTTTACCAGATTTTATACATTAAAGCAGCTAACATATCCAACATGGTGCAAATAATTTTCTGTGTTTCATTTATATATAATTAGCATATTGGCGCTCTTAAATTTTATAACATTGATGATTTAAAAATTTCAGCGTCTTCAAGTTTATCTTTATACTATTGCTAAGAAAAAATGCTAGTAGAAAATCTCACACAAGACATATGTGATCATTCATAGTACATTTTTCTTGAACTGCTCAATTTTTTTCTTTAATTTGAATTGTAATGAATTTTTAAATATTGCTTATTTTTTTAATGTTAATCTCCATAAATGAACATTTTCAATTTTCACCATTATTTTTAAATATTGAAATTTATAACAATACAATCAAAATGTTTGACTCACTTTTGTGTTCCAGGAAGGGCTTTTACTATATTTATCTTTGAATTATATATAAACTCGTATATTAACAAGCTGTCCTTTCATAGTTTGCATTATATAAATTTTGTTTTGAAATTGTTAAATGCTACTAATGTTGAAGAAAAAAAATTAGTTTATATATAATAAATGTGTAGAATAATGGTTAATATTAAGTATTACAGAAACAAATATTATTTGTACCAGTCATAATGGATTCATTATTAAAAATGAACAATAGTTTCTATATGCTTCATATTTATTTTAGGTTATTTAATTTACAGCCTGTCTGAAGTTATAATGCAAATCAAATAAATCTCTATAACTCAAGAAAATCTGAACCAATATTTTTCAAATTTAAACTCGCCCTTAGTAAAATATTTAATTTTTCTGTGATTTTTTTAATGGTTAGTTTGAGATTTTGGGATTTATGAAAATGAACTGACTGAAATTATTATTCAGATTAAACTAATATTAGTTTATGACCTTTGAAATCTAATAAAAACTATTTTTTCTTTTTGTCCATAATATATGTTGAAATATGGGTAAAGGAAGGATCTAGCAATTGCTGAAAAACAGAAAATAAAGTTATTGAGTGAGGGAATGTCCACATTGGAGTTATCATAGGAGCTTTGCAGAGATCGAATAAGGTTGTTGAAAATATGTTGAGAACTTGAAACAAAGGAAATGCCTTTAAGAACTTGCCTCCTTGAGATGAACGTAAAAGCGAGTTATAGTGAAACAGCCACTTTTGACCAATGCTCAGAACTTTGAAAATGCTAGAATTGAGAGTCAAGAAATTCAAATGGTGTAGAATACTTTGTGAATTGGAATTTGTAAAATAATCTCCTAGGCAGCCTCCTATCACTAAAGCAAATATTTTAAAACATCAAAATTGGGCCAAGAAATACATGAAAACTGACCTTTCTAATGTAATTTTCACAGATGAATTTTGAGTGACATTTGATGGATTTGATGGATGTGCCAAAGGATGGATTTTATCCAATTAAGACGTGGCTAAAAGAAGGCAACAGTGTTATGATATGGGCTGGAATTGTCGACCAAACCATTATTGGACCATTCAAATTTGATGAACTAATTCAAGTGAACAGTGTTAACTATTGTGATTTTATGAACAAGATATTCTTTGCATGGTACAAATCTCAGTCTAGCAGTTTCAAAGTGAAATGTGGATTTATGCATGACAATCCTCCTTCTCATGTAACTAAGCTTATCAGTGAATTATTTGAGCATAAAAGATTTACAGGAAAGAATATAAATCCTGATCTGAATCCAATAGAAAATTCATCTTCAATTGTGAAGATGAAATTATATGAAAGTTGCAAACAATTTAACAGCAAAGCAAACCTATGGGAAACAATTACAACTACAATGTCGGAAATTGAACCTGCTGAAGCAAAAAAAATTAACAAAATCAATGGATAATAGATTCAATCAGTTATGTGCCATGCATGATACATGCTTAGGTGATCATGTATCTCTTTGATACATGACTGGCGAGGCAGATTTTTTCCCACAGTAAGTTGCCATTTCTTTCTGTGGTAGACCAGTTGCCATCCAAGGCTATAGAACCCAGTCTGTTCTGCTATTTGCCGATAGCTGGTGGGAGAATAAGAGGATTAATACCTTTCCCAAGAGTATTAGCGTGTGAGTGAATATGATGGATTAGAGTGGAATTCAAACTCTGCTCTCTGATTCCTCAATCCGAACAACTATTCATTACTCTACCATGCCTATTCTGAAAATAAATTACTAGCTGTTATTGAGAAGAGAAGGATCACTGTATTAAAATGTAAAGATCAAAGACTTATCATATGTGTTTGTTATTTGTTCTATTATAGGTGTTGATCATTTTTAGATGATTTTATTATCTTTTTATTGAAGTAAAATCTGATTATTTGGTTTTGTTTAATAACTTCAGATGGCAATTTTCTAGAATACATCAAATAACTTCAATAAAACATATTGATGCTACCTAAAATTTTAGCTCTGGCTTTGTTTTGACATCTAAATTGTTTAAAATTTGACAATTGTTTTTTCAAGCCAAATTTGTATTGAAGTTTATATGACTTTCTTCAGACAGGCTATAGTTTTCTTTTAATTAATGCTGGGGTAAATAAATATAAGTTGTGCAACAAATATACATAGTATCATACTAGATGCTTGACATTAAGAACATTACATATAAGAAATCCCTTAAGCATTTTGTAAGTAAAATTGTTGCATGCATTATTAAGGAAAACCTAAACAAATTTTATCAAATTTTTGCATCTCCTAAAAATATTTGAATTGCTCAAAATTATTAAACCAACACTATATCAACTAGCAGATATATATTAGAATATGATATGTCCTGGAAAGGGATATATTTTTTCGAAGTAGCAAAGTGGTTGTTGTCTACTGTAACCGGGTAGGATAATCTAGCAGGTAACCATAATGGACTGGTCCTCGTCGTAGTGGTAGGCAATAGGCAAAGACTCTAGGTGTCAACCCTGTACCTCCACATCAGTCTGTATTTATGGCTGACACCAGCCAATCATATTACTGTGAGGGGGAACCCAGCTGTATGCATATTCATTACATCAGAATATATATTTTGATGTTTATTAAAGAAAAATATTGACTAGTAAACTTTCAACAAATATCTTCAAAAGAAAAACATTCTATGCAAAATAGACATTACTATGAATCTTATTTGTAATAATTTCAACTATGTGATCATTATAGACAATTGAATTTCTAGTAATTTTTTATTTAAGAAATTGGCTAGTTAATATTATTTATATCTTTTCTTATCAGATTACTCTGGTTTGGAGGGTGCCACTGCCTTTTCTTCCAATATCCCAAAAACTGATTCAGAAGAACCAGAAGCTCAAACTAAAGATGAGGTCCGCAAGAGGCGTTTGCAGCATTTTGAGTTACACAAGTAGAACTCAAAAGCAGGAAAACTTGTGAAACTTTGTTTCTGTAAGATATGTACATATAAATATATGCCATCCAAATTAACAAAAGCTTTGTTTTCATTTTTCTCTCTTTCTCGCTGTATGAAATAAATTTAAGGTTGAAAAATATGATACTAATAAAGTATTTTGGAAAGTTAGCACAAGATAAGCAGATATCTAGTGTTTCTAGTTCATAGATGTTTATTATTGAATTTGTGTCTTGGATTTAGATGCAGCATAAGAATTTATGGTCCAATTTGATTTCTGTATTTATTTTGTTAAAATCAATCTCAGGTTTGATGATTTGGAAATGAAAAGAAACACTGTAGAAAACACTGCTACAGATTTAACACATCAATAAGTATGTGATAATACTGAATTGTATTAAATCCCTAACAAACAAATTTAAACTTGAAACAGGAAAACTTAGTGATATTTGAGTAACTGATACCAAATTAATGTAAAAAAAAAAAAAATACTAATTTTTTTTGTTATAATAAAACCTTATGAAAACTTTCAGCATTGTTTATTTGAATCTGCTTGTAAAACTTTACTGTACACATTGATCAAACAAAACCCTTATTTTCAAAATATATATCACACATACCTTTGTAAATTACTGTTTAGAATATTACTTTGAAGACATTTGCCTTTATTCCCAATAGTAGTTATTAAAATTGTAAAGAAAACAAATTTTAAATTATTATGTAATTACATGAATAGTCAATTATATATTTATACATACAAAACTCATTGTTCTTGCAGGTGTAGCTAATTGGTATATTACATTAATTGAAGAGTCTTAAAGATCTAATTGTTATGACAGGTAGGTGAAATTAATTATCATATATCATTTAAGAGGAAACATAAAAGCATAGTGTTATTCTATATGGTTCCCTAAATTTTAAAATACTGTATGCTTGGTCAGATAATATAATTCTTAGTTAGTCCCCAAGAAAAAATGTTGAATATAAATTACACTATTACATTTGTAGGTATAAAAATAAAATCTATTTATTAAATTCAAAGAATTAAATCAAAAGTAAACTGAAAGTAGGGAAGTTACTTTACTAATATTTTAATTAAAATTTATATATACTAACTGGGTAGCACATACTTTTGCCTTTTGTGCAAAAGTTTAGTAAATATCAGCTAGATGTAAATAATTATGACACACAAATTTGTTCTGCTCCATTTCAAATAGAATATTCAGAAGGAAACAGTCATCAATACTGGAAAAAGTAATATCAGCTACTGGACTTGAGAAACCTGTTTTCCTAAAAGAAAATGTTTTAAGAGAAAGATTTTCTAAATTTCAAGTGAAAACAGTAGTAGCTGCTTAGTCAATGAATGCCAAATGCTTCCTTATAGCTTCCTTACCACTACCAAAATAATTGATTTTGAAGCAGACATTCCTATTCATTGCTACATTTTAGATAAAGAGTTAACATAAAAACACTTTATGACCAAAACTTGTTGAATTCTTTGAACAAAATTATAATGAAAATATTTTGTGATATCAGCTGAATGTCTGCATATTATCTAATACATAAACATAAAAAAATAAATGTTTTAAATCATTTTGAACCTAAATAGATTATTGTAGCATGTAATATATAGGCTTTGTTACTTGCTGTCTTAACTCTTTCATTCATAAAGAAGCATGGACAATAACTGCTTTTTTTCTTTCTTTTTTTTTTATACAACTTCAAACTTAAGATAAGACTGCAGAAAATATTGCCTAATTGTTTGACCATGTAAAATTCAACATTTGTTCCAAAGGCTTTAATATAGGAATGAGTCTTGAAATCTGTTGGGCGTAAAATTTAAGTGAAAGAAATGTTCTCAATGATCTCTTTCTCATTTGGACTTGCAGAAAATCCTGGTACAAAAAAATATGCATTGCCAGCCACTTATGTAAAATAGGATGTGTGGATTTGTTAAGATTGTGCTTTATACTTGAGGTTTTGTAATTAAAAGGAATATTACACTCAGTAATATCTTTTAGTAACATTAGCTCTCTTAATTGGCAAGTCAAAAGATTCAATGATGAAATGTAAAAGGTTGAGGGATATGTTGATAATGTTAATGTTGAAAATCATTTAAGATGCCAGATAAGTGACCAACCAGTGATTAGATTTAGAACTTTTTTTCTTACTAGCTACTATTTTCATATAGATGTGATCACTAATGACCCAATGGGACCCCAATGTAAATGTGAGACCTGTTAAGAAATGTCCAAAACAATGGTGTCGAGAAAAAAAAAAAAAAAAAGTCCATATTGGAAATCTAATCTCATAAATCAAAGAGGCAAGAAATAGTATCTCAAAAATCAGGATCAAAAGTCCAAGAAGTCAAAATAATTTTTAAAAAAGGCGTTTTAAAATAATCAAACCTATCCTAATACAGTGAATTCATTCCTCCTTGTCAAGGAAAGCAATGGTTTTTATTGATGATGTGATGAATTAACCTGCCACCCCCATAAGTGGTGGCACTATATGTGGTAACCACCTATAAGTATCTGTTAGGACAGTGGATGGCAGAGTTGAGCTGGGATCTGCAAGAACTAGCAGCCTCCCGATAACAACATGCACACAACTGTACTGACTTGCAACGACTGTGTGCATAACTATTACTTCCTTGCTTGTTGTACTAGTTTCTACAATAAACCTGTTACTATTTATCCACCATGTTTGTCCATTCCATATTACTATTAGCATGGAATATATCAATTGAGGAGGTAAATTTTATGAATGGTTGCAATAGTCAGGATAAAAAAAAAAAATTACTATATAAAAGTTTTACTTAAGACTATCAAGGATTTTTTTTCATCAAACCATGCACAGGACACATTCTTTTATGAGGTAGGTGATTTTCCCCATTCTCCACAGTAAGTAAAAAAAAAAAAATAAACTTGATGATTTGCCCATCTTATCCAAGTGGGTTGAGTTTACAACTCTACTCCAACATTAATTGGTTGTCTCAGTATCAATTATGAACTATAAAGATGACCATAATGCAACAATTAAAGAAGCTGGTACTGAAAAACTGGTTCCACTTTTACATCAACATTCAATGTAGTCTATACAAATGTAGATGATGCTGGTATATTATTTCTGAACTTTAAAAACACGTCTTAGATTGAATTTATGTTGATAGAAGCTACTTTTTTTAATAACAGACATTACTAATTAACATTTTTATAGACTTTATTGTTAGGTAAAGTAGGTATACAGAAATCAGTCAAAATAAGCATTTATCTCCTATATAATAATGACCCTTGTATATTTATTTATATTTTTTGTCACACCCAAAAGTGGGAAGAGAGGTAAATCAACTTAATGTAGTAAATTTATGAGCGGTTACTTCCCATAGTCAATTTAATAAGCTCTACAAATAAAACATCTTTATTTAAACAAAATTAGTTTCCAAGCAAAACAGACCATTTAATTAATCACTTCCCTGATTACTACATTTCTTATACTCTTTTGAGGCACTAAGATACATTAAATGATGATCTTGCTTCAACTTTCTCTTGAGATAGGCTAAGGTCATCTCATTATTTGTAGTTCTGTTGTTAATCTTTTTCTTTTGAGAAGGATTTCTTTTACAAGTCACATGCATTAAACACAAAAATTTTAACATGAAAAGATATTGAACAAAAAGCAATATTTTTTTTTATATAATGCCAAAGAGTCATCAATGAATGTTAGATACCATTGATCATCTAGAAATATAAAAACAGGTTAATAAAATCTTTCATTCCTCTTTTAGTCATGAATTCTGGATCTCTACTCTCAATACATTGTTTCAAAACTTGTTTCATTGCATCTCATTATTAAAACTTTCTAACAATTGCTCTCATTTTTGATGGCACAACTACACTAGTTAATCTTATGTTTGTAAATTTAATGTAATAAACTTTATCTGTCTATATTTCTGAGATGAGCTATTATGTACAGTATTTACATTATTTGGACTATTGTCTGAATCTTTGTCGCCATATTTATTACAATGTGAGCAAAATAAAGGGTTCAGTTCGACATTCCAACCACCTGAATTTGGCCAGAGCGTACAACAGCTGAAACATTGTAATGAATATAGCAACAAAGATGAGGATAATAGTCAGAATAATGTAAATAAATTTTATATCTAAACTCTTTTCTTAGAGTTTGGAGGACTAATTTGAGAAGAAACAAGCTGTGTTCACAATCAGTTACACATTTAAAATTCCATTTAATGATCAATTTGTATTTTCACCATAGAATTTTAGCTTCAACTTTAAACATACATCAGGATTAAAATTACAATAAAAACTAATAATTGTGTTGATAGAAAAAATTCTTATAGATTACTTTAACAATTTTATTTATAAAAAACAGAAATATAATTGACCACTAGTTAATGAGAAAAGTTTATATCAGCAGTTATCTCCCCTTTAGCTTACACACCGGATTCTAATTAATTAAATAATTGGTGATATGAACTGACAGTTCTTCTTTGAAAACTGACAATTTGTAATAAATAGCAATAAATATCCACAAGCATTGGATCTTTTATTGTTGGCATCATCAATTTAAACCTATTAAGGAACTAAAAGTGGGGACATTTTTTGGAAAAAAATGGTAGACAAACTTGGACCTTCATGCCTGCAATAAGATACAGTGTAAAAAGGACTTTTTTTTTTCTTTTTTTTTTTTTTTTCATTTGCAATACAAATGGACAGAACAGGACTAATATGATGGACAAGTCCATCTCCCACCAAGGGCAAACCAGAACTCTCACCCAATCCCAAGCATGACAATATAAACCAGCATCCAGATATACCCTATTTCTGGTTTTGTTGCCACTTGATCTCCAAAAATCCATCATCCACTCCTTTGAAGGGTAACATTGAAGTCAATTGGATACCACTAGGAAGACCAAAAGAAGCCATCTGCTGGATATAAAAGAGAAACACTTGAGAATAAGATAAAACCACCTGTTCC